ATCCACCCATCCCTCTCTCTCTTGTCTTACTGCTGTCACCATGTCATAGAACTCCAGTAGGTTTGTGGCACAGGATTTCCCGTCCCTGAAACCATGTTGGCTGCTGTTGATGAGATCATTCCTTTCTAGGTGTTCCACCACTCTTCTCCTGATAATCTCATCCATGATTTTGCATACTATACATGTCAGTGACACTGGTCTGTAGTTTAGTGCTTCGTGTGTGTGTGTGTGTGTGTGTGTGTGTGTGTGTGTGTGTGTGACATCAACCAACGGGAGAGTGACAGTGCAAGTGAACCATCCAGACCAAGGCACCATTGCCAGCACAGTGCCACAAGGGACCATCATCACGGCTAGCTTGGTCCTGATATCTCCTGATGCCGGTTGAAGGCTTTTGATCCTAGGAATTCCAGCGATGCTACCCTTTGATTAATCCTAATTAGCTCCCATGTCCCAGGTGCTGTAGGACTCCTACAGGCTTAGCGCTTCTCCATAGATAATGTTGAGAGACAATGTCAAGATAATATAAAGAATAAAAAAAAAAAAAAAGAATGCTGGAAACTGCAAGCTGACACTCCTGGTTACACCAGTGGCCGGGGAAGTGGCTGTTGGAGTTTAACCCTACGAAATTTGAGCTGCCTTCAAAGAAGGGCTAAACATCATATTTTCCTCGAGGTTCATAAGGACGAAGATGCACGTTTTGGAACTCGCTTTTGTCGGAATAACGTTTTGCTCTGTACGGAGCTATGGAAGCTATAACTGGGTGAAGGTCAACACAGGTGTTTTTGTTCATGGTATAAATAAAGTCAAACAGATGTGTGTGTCACGGACTGGAAAGCAGCTCAGGGAATCAGTCTTGAGAAAGCATCTAAACGTCAACATCACAACCAACCTATCTCTCCCAGAGACCCACATAAGACAGATACCGTCAGTGGATTACTCTGAACCAGCCAGAATAACATTAGCAGTCACAAAAACATCCATTTCTTACACTATACATAACACGTGTCCCATCACTGCTAGAGTACCCTGCGCCGTTGTGGAGCCCACATCTCATTAAACACGTAAAGAAAATTGAGAAGCTTCGAAAGATGAAGTGAGATTCAATTAACTTGAACTCGGAGAACTAGAAGAAAGGGGAAATAGAGGTTAGAGAAGCTGTTGTGTGAGCCGAAAACCACAATACTTACAACACCAGGGGGGGACGGGGGAGGGGAGAGGGAGGGAGACGGGGAGGGAGACTGGGAGGGGAGACGAGGGAGGGGAGACGGGGGAGGGGAGACGGGGGGGTTAGTACTGGTTACATAGGTGACTCGTAGACATACTGTGAAACACTTTACGAAAACTGGCAGACATATAGCAACGAAGATGTCAAACAGACCTGAACCAAACAGAAGAAGGTACTAAAGTACAGATCCAAAAAAATAGAGAATACTCTCTCTCTCTCTCTCTCTCTCTCTCTTCTCTCTCTCTCTCTCTCTCTCTCTCTCTCTCTCTCTCTCTCTCTCTCTCTCAACCAAGGTAATCAGGTTCTTCAATGACATCCTCGGTGCATTGAATTGTTGACATATGACTTCAGTCAGTGGAATCTGAAAAGGTGTGTGTGTGTGTGTGTGTGTGTGTGTGTGTGTGTGTGTGTGTGTGTGTGTGTGTGTGTGTGTGTGTGTGTGTGTGTGTGTGTGTCTAAGATCCAATCTTTCATTGCCTTACTCTTATCACCTTACGCTTTTTTTACATTCACTTTTATTTTTTTTTATTTACATAAGTTTCGCAACTTCTCTTCAGAATCTCAAAATGAAGAATAATGTCATCGACAAAAAAACAACAGTGACAAATCTCACTCTGAATCCCAACCATACTTTTTTTTTTTTTTTTTTTTTTTTTTTTTTTTTGCATCCCACATCTCTGTGTAATCCCCTCGGTTTAATTTCTTTGATAATTTCAGCTATAAGTGCGTTAAACATCCATGGGAACTTCACACATCCCCGTCTATGGCATAATTTTAGTGGGAAACAGTCCCCTTCTCTCCCCAATATGAGCCTCACTTTCCACATAAACATTGACGTAATATATCTGTTCACACACGTTCAGCATCTGCAACGTTGTTCCCTACCCAACCTATCATCTGGGTTTTCTAAATCCATACATGCAAGAAAGAGTTCCTTTTCCTACCTACATATTGTTCACTTATATAATAATATATATATATATATATATATATATATATATATATATATATATATATATATATATATATATATATATATATATATATATACGTATTATATCTATGTGTGTTTATGTAGATTCATTGTTGCAAGAACTCCACGAGAATCAGTCGGAAAAGCACAGAATAAATATATGTTACTAATGTTTGGACATTTAGGCTGATCTATGACAGGTTGAGTGAAAGATAAATTGTGCCATGTTAATATTAGCAAGGTTAGGTGATTAAGGCTAGGTGCAACTTTGCACATTTGTATATTATGCTAATTTTCAAAAATATATGCATCTATATATATATATATATATATATATATATATATATATATATATATATATATATATATATATATATATATATTTATATATATGAGAATTTGTAAACAATTATTTTATGGCGATTTGGCTGGTTTGTCTGACTCATAATAAAATACTGATACCATGTTTCAAGACATTCTGTGAGTGTCGGCAACTAGGTACCACCTAGGTACCACCTAGGTACCAGCAGACTACACAGGGCAGAAAACGAGACATCCAGACACTCAACTACCACTGGCAGACGCCAGCAACAATATTTTCTCTTCTATTGTTTTGTTTCGTTTCAGACATATTTTGTGAATACATTATGTTAGAAAGTTCTGTCTCATTCAGGTTCATATTAATATTCTTTTTTATCTGCGGAGGTAAAGTCTGTGTTCAGCGTCTCTGTCGGTGATGGTGTCAGGTAAGTCGGCTGAAAGGTCGGATAAGCTCTTCAAAATATACACAGAGCATAATATATTCTGACCTTTTTAACACCGTCCTCGTACTTGCAAACTCTGTTATGCAGATGTTTTGCTTTCTGATCTATACTGATTTTATCACAGCTTTCGCATGGATGCATGCATATTCTATTAACTATTGCAGAGATCTTTGTTCAAATTCAAACGTAAACTTATGTTTTTATTCATTGTCTGTCATACAGGGTAATTTTTTTTCTATTAATGTTCGTAGTGATATAAATGTTCTTATATGTGTAAGTGTGTCAGTGGGTGTGTGCAAGTGTCTCGGTGTGAACACATATTTTACAACCCCGTCTGGTTGGTGGTCGGACTAGAGATGATAGAGAGGGAGTTTAGACGTGAGGAGTTGACGAGGTTAGGGATGGGGGAGGCAAGAAATTGAGGTGGAAGAGGTTGGACTAGAGCATCAACGGGTGGAGGTCAGGTCACGACCTTTTCGGGAAGGTAGGGAAGGATGGAGAGAGGGGAAGGGGGACGAAGAGAAGGCGCAGGAGGTATATAAGCATGGACGGCACAGTGACAGAAGTGCATTTGGTCCCTCATCGTCCCTCTAGCGTCAACATGGTTTGCAAGGTACGTCACCAATACCTCTTCTTCCTCTTCCTTATTATCTTCCTTTTCCTCTTAGTTATCCGCCTCCTCCTACCCCTCTTCCCCCTCCTCCTCCTCCTCCTCCTCCTCTTTCTCTTTCTCTTCCTCTTCTGATCCATCGCTCTGTGACTCGTGTCAGGAAGATATGTATGTTCGAGACATAGAGTGATGGTAGCTTGAAGGAGTTCCAGTTTGAAAGGGCAGTACAAGAACCCAAAGTGAGGGAATGGGATACAAGAACCCAAAGTGAGGGAAGGGAATACAAGAACCCAAAGTGAGGGAAGGGGATACAAGAACCCAAAGTGAGGGAAGGGGATACAAGAACCCAAAGTGAGGGAAGGGGATACAAGAACCCAAAGTGAGGGGAGGGGATACAAGAACCTAAAGTGAAGGAAGGGGATACATGAACCCAAAGTGAGGGAAGGGGACACAAGAACCCAAAGTGAGGGAAGGGGATACAAGAACCCATAGTGAGGGAAGGGGATACAAGAACCCAAAGTGAGGGAAGGGGATACAAGAACCCAAAGAGAGGGAAGGGGATACAAGAACCTATAGTGAGGGGAATGTGTCTCATTTGATTAGAGTTGTACACATGGATCCTGAAGGCAACCAAAATGTGCTGACCACACAGAGTATGGTTGACGTCTGTTAACCTGCAAACTCTACCATAAATTACAAATATTACACACACACACACACACACACACACACACACACACACACACACATTGTATAATACGGCCGCATCCCACCGAGGCAGGGTGACTTAAAAAGAAAAATTAAAGTTTTTCTTTTTAAATTTAGTAATTTATACAGCAGAAGGGGTTACTAGCCCCTTGCTCCCGGCATTTTAGTCGCCTATTCTTTTCTGGTAGCTACTCTTTGCCGCTCTCCCCGCGATGAACATCTCCACATCCCCGGTATCGACGGTCACGCTGGCTAGTCATCCAAAGATTCGATAAGAATCATCATTCAGCTAATTTCATACCTTATCTACCTGCTGATCAAATAAATTACTCACCATAAAGGTAAGTAATTTGTTTGATTAGTAAAGGTGACTCCCTATGGAACTTCCTTATGCCACTATACCGTAAGAATGTATTTCAACCAGTTTTTTATTTTTTGCTGTTCCGCGTCATTTGCAGAGTCTGCTTGTCACGTAACCTCAAAACTTTAGCAGTGTCTGCTGTGTTCCCCCCTCTCTCTCTCTCTCTCTCTCTCTCTCTCTCTCTCTCTCTCTCTCTCTCTCTCTCTCTCTCTGTCTGTCTGTCTGTCTGTCTGTCTGTCTGTCTGTCTCTCTCTCTCTCTCTCTCTCTCTCTCTCTCTCTCTCTCTCTCTCTCTCTCTCTCAAGAAGAAGCAAGACACTACATCTCACGCAGATCAAACACCGAATTACTTACATATTTGCATGTAAATAAAGGAGTTAAGAAAAGGTCACAAACACGAGAAAATTGGATGTTCTGAATTTACATTTGAGTGTGAACGCGGCCACGGCAGTAACCTTGCCCGTCCCTTCGTGTCCAAACATAGTGGGAACACAAGAGGTGTGTGTGTGTGTGTGTGTGTGTGTGTGTGTGTGTGTGTGTGTGTGTGTGTGTGTGTGTGTGTGTGTGTGTGTGTGTGTGTGGTGTGTGTGTGACTCAACAATCAATATTTGCACCAGTAACTCATTACAGTTGTGACCGGGTGTGGAAGTGTGAATTGCTCATTACACTATAATTTGTTCATGATTGTAGCCATGTATAAACGTAAGTAACCATTCTACAGAATTCATTACCTTTGTAACTTGTGAGTTCATTACCTTGTACCTAGTTCAGCTATCAAAACTTTGGGGCCCAGTCCCTGGACCCATTACGTACCTCTGTAATCTGTAAATACCTTTGTAACTTGTCATGATTGTGACCAGACCTACCCGGAGTTCATTACCTTTGTAAATTGTGAGTTCATTACCTCTGTAAATTGTGAGTTCATTACCTTTGTAAATTGTGAGTTCATTACCTCTGTAAATTGTGAGTTCATTACCTTTGTAAATTGTGAGTTCATTACCTCTGCTCAGCTATCAAAACTTTGGAGTCCAGTCCCTGGACCAATTATGTACCTCTGTAATCTTTTGACTACCGCCCACAGGATGGGTATGGGGTACATAATAAACATATTAAACTAACTAACTAACACAAGAGGCCGTTTCATGGCCAGCCGGGTAAATGGTTTTGAGCAATTAAACGAGGGGGAAAAAATATGTACATGGCACAAGCATATCGTATAAGAGAAAACGAGACGTCGTAAAAGAGCATAACAGGAATTTCTTGTACGATCAGCATATGTTTACAATTTATTTAGAAAATCGTGTGTCTGGCAGCGATGAAATGTTTTTGTTTTGCGAAGACGGTAAAAAATAAATTTTATTATCTCTTTTTTTTCCCCATCACTCTTTACAATATTTATTGGCCTGGTGGCTAAAGCTCTCGCTTCACACGCCGAGGGTCCGGGTTCGATTTCCAGCCGGATAGAAACATTGGACTTGTTTCCTAACATCGGTTGTCTATGTTCACCCATCAGTAAAATGGGTACCTGGGTGTTAGTCGACTGGCGTGGGTCGCATCCTGGGGCAAAACTGACCTAATTTGCCCGAAATGCTCTGCTACTAGGTCAGTTGTCGTGTTCCTTCCTTAAGTGAATGTGACCTGTCCTGACCAGGTTGGGGCATTGGCTTAGGCCGGTAGGAGACTTGGACCTGCCTCGCATGGGCCAGTAGTCCTGCTGCAGTGTTCCTTCTTTTTTATGTTCTATGTTCTTATAACAATCGGCTTTCTATATAGTAGTATGTCATTGATGTGCATGTACTTGTATAAGTAAACATATTATTATTATTGTTTTCGCTGCTATCATTATTATCCTCACACTCTCTTATCTGTCTCTCTGTTTCTCTCTCTCTCTCTCTCTCTCTCTCTCTCTCTCTCTCTCTCTCTCTCTCTCTCTCTCTCTCTCTCTCTCTCTCTCTCTCTCTCTCTCTTTCACTCATTCTTCCCTCTCTCCCTCTCACAGGTCGTCCTCATTACCCTCCTGGTTGGGGTGGTTCTTGCTGTTCCCCAGTACGACTATAAGCGCCCACAGCCACCACCACCACCACCCACTGGCCTCTATCTGCCGCCCACTGCCGCACGCCCACTAAGCCCACCCGCTGCACCACCTCGCGCCCTACCTCGCCCTCCTCCTCCTCCACAAACTTACAAAATACCTCAAGCCACCAACATCCGCCCACAGACCTACCAAGTGAGCCTGGGGTTCTATTTTATTCTCTAATCAAATTCAAGATTTAAAAAAAAATAGGTATTTCTCTAGACTCCGTGTTATGTACTTAAGCAATGTTCTAACACCTTAGCAAGATACGTTATGAAAGTTTATAATTTTTTTGATATTTTTAAATGTATTTTGAGAGGAAATTCTTAAAACAAAGAAGAAAAATTCTCGAAGTTTAGTTACAGAAACGTATGTGAGGAAAAATTCATTTGAGGCGTGTAGTTAAAGTAACTAATACCTTGTAGTGCATTAACTAATTCCTTACAAAGTAGCTTGTAACTATTAAATTCACTAATTACCAGTAAACTGATGCGCAGATAAGATATTTGTGTAATTTAAGAGTATTATTAACCCGGTGCCTCGACAGCCCCCTCCCGGCCCAGGCATGGAGGGAATGCCTTACGACTTTGAGTGGGGTGTTCAGGACCAGGGCAGCGGTAACGCCTTCAGCCACGTCGAGAACAGCGATGGACGCACTACCCAGGGGGAGTACCGCGTCCTCCTGCCCGACGGACGCACACAGGTGAGTACTTCGTCCTACCTGTCAGCCACAGAGGAGAATACCCTGTATTACCTGTCGGTATCAAAGGTGAATATCCCGTCCCGTCAAGACGGTCATACATCCCAAATTTTATGTAGGTATAAGGGATATACAGTCCTCAGAGTGCTTACTAAACTCGTGGAAAAACAACAGTGATGCACAATGGGTCTTTCCTCCGGTCTTGTTTCACGAAGGTTAATTCTTTACTAATCCAGCAAACCTTTGCTATCGCCTTTATTTGTTGTGCCTCCGGCTGGCTCACATGACTGAAGGGTATCTGCGTCTCCTTTCTCAGGTGGTGACCTTCTACGACAACGGCGGTGGATTCAACGCTGACGTCACCTACGTGTAGCTTCCATCAGCTGCGACCTGAGTTCGAACACCGGAGTGCTACCTCTTCTTCGATCAGGAACGTTAGAGATATCGCCAACCTACGAGCAAAACATTAAAGATATACCCACCTATGTTCAGAACATTAGAGATGCCCCACCTGTGTTCAAACCCTTAGAGATACCCGAACTAAGTTCATAAAATTAGAAATAACTCCTACTTTCAAACCTTAAGAGATAACCACCTTCGAACGCTTGTGGACGACCCTATTTACTATCAGTTTCCGACTCCGAAGTACTTCGACTCTTAACGTTCACAACTCAAAGAGGATCTTGACTTGCTACTCCATGGACGACGCGCTGAGGCAGCGAGCTCCACTCCTCCTACCTCTAACGACCCTAAAACGAACGACCTTTAAATCTCTCTCTCAAAAGTTCATAATTCCCTTGCTCTAACTTTTCTACTCTCTTCATGCTATTTCTCAACGCTACCTACAAAAGAAATAAGAGGCTCTATAATAGGATTCGTGATCATGTATATAGAGAGAACTAGAACAAATATTTCATAAAAAAAATAAATATTTGAAATTTATTGTTTTGTCTTCTAACTCAAACTTTCTCTAGCTGCTTTACTTTTAAAGATTATGTATATTTATATCTTCAGAGATATTCGTGTTTTCAATCATGAAATGAGATTTTTACTATATTTTGGGCACAAATTTCTTGACTGAAGGAACAGAAGATGGCTTCAAGTGAACTCTTCAGCCACTACAGGAAAGAGAAAATAGGTGACGTCCATTGACCTTTTCAGTCACTGCCACATAGCTTGTTCCCTGTTTTCGCTCCCACCATTTGTATTTATTTATTTAAATGATTTATGAAGTACAAACTCCAGGCATATCAAATAATAACAAATCTGAAACTGTCATCCCCAGTAAGACAGTGTCCTTCATGCCTACCAGTTGTTTGTACCGTATGTAATCAGAAGTAATTTTTATACAGACTGTAAATCTTTCTATGAAAAATCATGTTTATTTTCTATGCTACACTTGACTTTATTATATCCTTCTCTCATATTTTATTTGTATTAGTATTTCGAAATGTACATTACAATACAGTGAATAAATGAAAAGTTTTGTCAATTTCCATCCCTTCACGAAGCTTGCCTTGGTGTTAGTGAGGGGGTTCTTGATTCAGGAATTTGGAGCTATCCTGAGATAAACTTAATACTTTAATCACTATTTGATGTCTGATGGTGACAAGGTTACGTGCAGCCTTGTTTAGCCGATAGGCTTTAAACCCCATTAACTAACCAAGCCGTTTTCCTGGGAATTTTCAGATTTAGTAATAGAGTTTCAGGTACATGAAGTAAAAAGCTTTCTTGTGTATTTCAATTATTACTTGATACAATAAAATGGGATGTTAATATGCAGAGTTCACGATAACATGAGAAGATTTTATTCAGATTATTAACCCGAAATGTTAATGATCTCCATACACACTGTGTATATACACTGGCTTAGCTTGCTAGGCTTTATGTCTGGTGGCCTGGTGGCTAAAGCTCCCGCTTCACACACGGAGGGCCCGGGTTCGATTCCCGGCGGGTGGAAACATTCGACACGTTTCCTTACACCTGTTGTCCTGTTCACTTAGCAGCAAATAGGTACCTGGGTGTTAGTCGACTGGTGTGGGTCGCATCCTGGGGGACAAGATTAAGGACCCCAATGGAAATAAGTTAGACAGTCTTCGATGACGCACTGACTTTCTTGGGTTATCCTGGGTGGCTAACCCTCCGGGGTTAAAAATCCGAACGAAATCTTATCTTATCTTATCTTAACTGTGCTAGGAACATTAAAGTTGCATTTCACCTGTACACCAATAGTCAAGAGGTATGTCTACCACTCGGTTTTATATATAAAATGTATCTAATGCACGTATGAACCTAGGTATGTATTATTATTAACTATATTAAAAGGAGACTAATTAAAATACGTACAGCAATATAACACTACTCGGTATAAATATGCTCTATAACAACAAAAATAATTACAAAAATTTTTTTTTTTTTTTGTTTACGAGTAAAAACATGAAACCAATAAATACACCGAGAGGAACAGGTCTCTCGGTGTTTATACACTGAAAATTTACTTTAATGCTTTTGTAAGTGATTAAAGTATTCTTGAGAGGAAAGACTCCATTAGTGGTAAAAAAAAAAGACAAATTTAATTACATGAAACCTTTATCGTCAACTTTTCATCCATATAATTTCATTTGTGCGTCTCATCGTGTCCGTATTTTATATTATTACCTACACACAACGGCAATCTTCAGAAAATGCGACAAATAGCAATGGTAAGTAAATTTGCACAAGTTATCCCTTAATTTCAGACGCTAAGCAGACATTTTCTTTGATGTTCATAGTCCGTTTTCTGTTTTTAAAATATTTTTCAGGGAAACCACAAAAGTTTAAAAAAATAAAATCGTAATCAAAATGTGTATGATTTACCAAGTCCAAAAAAATAAGCAGACAATTACTTTTAAACAATAGAAGTGTAATTATATTAACTAGGTAAATGAGAAAGGAATCGATCAACTCTAGTCTTAAATTTACTAAGACTGACGTATTCTTTACATTTTGATCTTAATCCGAGGAACTGGAGCTGTACTTCCCATTCTCTGATCAAATTTGATTGTCTCCCATTCCCTTGGTGTTGCAACCCCTGTGGGTTTAGCGTTTCTCATGATTATAATGATAAAGATTATTATTATTATTATTATTATTATTATAATCAAAAAGAAGCGCTAAGCCACAAGGGCTATACAGCGCTGCTAAAGATCATTATAGATTTTAAAAATATAATAATAATAATAATAATAATAATAATAATTAATTAATATATAATAATTATTATTATTATTATTATTATTATAAGAATAACCTGAAATGATCGATACCATGCCTAACCCTTCTAGGGTAGGGTAGGTGCCTGAGCCCGAGCTTACAGCTCACAAGACTGTCATTCCCATTAGCCCCCTTGTGGCGGGGATGACAGACCAGAGAGGCCTAGCTTGTGGCTAGGCCTTGGGACAGTTGGTCCCAAAGATGATTATTATTATTATTATAATCAAGGGGGAAGCGCTAAACCCGGAGGATTATACAGCGCCTGGGGGGGGGATGTGGAAGGCATTCAGGCTTAATTTGGGGAACTGGAGCACAGATCCAATTCCCTAAATCAAGAGCCCCTCACCAACATCAAGGAACCTTCCTTGAGGGGTCCCAAAGATGAGGAGGTACTTGTGCCTCCTCCCATGGGAGACTTAGGTCTCAGACACTCCCTAAAGAGGGAGCCAAGGCCGGGCCACCACTTGGAAAAGGCCCGGGCCGGGAGAATACCGGCGAATCTTTAATAATAATAATAATAATAATAATAATAATAATAATAATAATAATAATAACCTGAATGACTGAAGTGCCATATATAGCACAGAGGAAACTACAGCTACATCTGCAGCAGTTCAGATCTATAATACAAGAACGTGATCTGCAGTAAAGCTGTTTACATGTTTGATTTATAAACGAAAGACCCTGGGCCAGTTCTGTGAGTGAGACGTATGGGGCTGCTCACTTATACCTGCTGCCCCGGCTGACCTAGCAGTAAGCAGGTACCTGGGGGGTTAGTCGACTGGTGTGGGTCGCATCCTGGGGAGTATTTGTATACCTCAGAAGAGAGCTTCGAAATAACTGAGGCAGGATAACAGGTTTTAGCCTGTAAGTGAGCTGAGGTAGGATAACAGCTCCTAGCCTGTGAGCTGAGGTAGAATAACAAGTCTTAACCTGTAAGTGAGCTGAGACAGGATGACAAGTCTTAGCCTGTAAGTAAGCTGAGGTAGGATAACAGCTCATAGCCTGTGAGCCGAGGCAGGATAGCAATGATTATCCTACTACAATAATTATTTTCATGGGGTAAGCGGTAAACCTGTAGGGGGTCATACAGCACCCGGAAAAATGGATGGCATTCAGGCTTGACTCATGGAATTGGAGGACAGGTGCTGTTCCTTAGATCAACAACATCTCACCGCCAGCATCAAGGAACCTCCCGTGAGGGATGTCATCCCGTCAGTGAGATGAGGTAGTATATATATATATATATATATATATATATATATATATATAATATATTATAATATATATAATATATATATATATATATATATATATGCAGGCAGCCATAAAACTTCTTTGAGAAAGAATGAATGACAACTTTGACAAGCCATAAATAAGACACTACAAAAACTAACAACTGAAAGTGAAAGTTTAAACATAAATTGAAAGAGAGAAAGAGAGAGAGAGAGAGAGAGAGAGAGAGAGAGAGAGAGAGAGAGAGAGAGAGAGAGAGAGAGAGAGAGAGAGAGAGAGAGAGAGAGAGAGAGAGAGAGAGAGAGACTTGCCTTAAATAGTGACAGAATGAACAATGATTATCATTTTAAATTCTGTAGATGATGGTGAGGTACTGATGGTGAGACGGTGATAGTGAGCCCTTTAAGAGAGGGGTGAGATGTGCCCTCATGCTGTTGAAGAGCTCCTGATTCAAGGAACTGGAGCCAGCCTCCTCTTCCTTGGGTATTGTATGATCCTTCTTTTTTACGATTCCCATTAAGAATAATAATAATAATAATAATAATAATAATAATAATAATAATAATAATAATAATAATAATAATAATAATAACAATAATAATAATAATAATAATAATTGAAAATGACTAAGAAAAAACTTCATAAATTACCTGCAAATTTACTCCTGAAATAAACAACAAGAATATGTCTTCAAAATTTATTAAGAAACCAGCACATATACATAAGAAAATAATTTACATACATTCATACAGGATGTCCATCTGTGAGAAAAAATAGTTACGTATAGAAGGAAAATACACCATGAGACATTCATCTGTATATACAAGGAGAGTTGTGCATATCTCTGTGTATATATACTGAAAGTTGTGCATATCTCAGTGCATATATGGTTAGAGATGTATATCTCTCAATGCTAAGAAGTATGTATATCTCAATGTATATATGCCCAGATGGGAAGGTATTCTCTGTATAAAATTCCTGCTCAAGACTATTGTTGAAGGTTTTTACTGGAGAAAAAGATGAACGACACAATGTTTGATAATTAATATTTGAAACTGACGGTTAGAGTCTAGCTCCTGGTCCGTTGAGGGATGCTATGAGGCCAAAGTCGTATTGGGGCTGACGCAGAAGTGACGCAAAAAAAGTCGATGCTTCACCTCGTTGCTGCGTCACCTCGCTGCATCACCTCGTCTCTGCGTCACCTCGTTTCTGCGTCTACTTCTCATAGGTGACCTCTGCATTAAAGCCACCGCCGTTGTCAAAGAACTTGACCACCTGCAAAGATGGCAGCACCAAGTGTCAAGAAGGTAAGTATTTTACCACCTCCAGGGCAAGATGACCCCTTATATACACTCCCGTCTTTTACTAATATCTTTATTACCCATCAAGAAGGGTGCCTTCACGCTGCTGATAGGCGTTTGATCCAAGGAACTGGAGCCTCCCTCCTTTGTTTTGAACTTGATTATCATTCTTTCCCAGACGGTATATAACCCCTACAGATTTACATCATAAATCATAAAAAAGTAACAAAAAGAATAATATTAATAAAAATAATAACAATAATAATAATAATAATAATAATAATAATAATAATAATAATAATAATAATAATATTAATAAAAATAATAATAATAATAATAATATTAATAAAAATAATAACAATAATAATAATATTAATAATAATAATAATAATAATAATATTAATAAAAATAATAACAATAATAATAATAATAATAATAATAATAATAATAATAATAATAATAATAATAATAATAATAATAATAAATACCTTCATCAAATACTACGTTTTAATACATTTGTTAATACATTAACTTGAAACATTAAACAGAATCAAGATAATACCAACACAAGAGGACAATGAGGGTGTCTTTCCAACAAGGATATACATGCATTCACCGTGAGGTGTATATATGTATACACCATGAGGTGTATACATATATATACCGTGAGGTGTATGGTTCTGAGAGTTCAGTCTATATTTTGGGGATTTACGTATTCATGACTGGTGGTGAACAGTTGACATGCAGTCCTAATGACCCTCGTGTAGTCGACAGCCTTAAATTAAGCCTCGTTAACTAACCAGTAATGATAGAATTACCGATAAAATATTAGATAAATGGACGCAAGTGCAACTTATGAGACTTTTTATAACAACGTTTCGCTCTCCAGGAGCTTTGTCAAGCAAGAAAATGTTACATTAATTGCATCTGTGTCCATTTACTTAGCATCACTTAACCAACATGAGCGCTCAGTATAAGCACAGAACAAGACAAGCGGTCATTCTCTCTAAGTGTCGACTCATCCAAACGATCATGAAGCTGTTACAACATAACTGGCTACACCAGACTTCTCGACATTCCTCTGAGTTGTACGACAGTTAGGTAATGCAGTTAAGCACTCAGTACAAACGGAGAAATACTCCAGTCCTGGATAATCGGTCGTTCACTCCAGTTGTCAGCTCGTCCAGACGAGAGTCAAGAAGACGCAACAGTGAGTAGCAACTTCCTAAAAGGTTCAAGAGTCCTCTCTTAAATATTATCTTCTTACCTTTGGCTTATACTCTCTTTCACTTAAATCATCCTTAGCTAGCATTCTCCTCTCTCTCTCTCTCTCCTCTCTCTCTCTCTCTCTCTCTCTCTCTCTCTCTCTTCCTCTCTCTCCTCTCTTTTCTCTCTCTCTATCTATCTATCTATCTATCTATATCCTATCAAACTCAAATCTATCTATTTATATCTATTTACTCGTGAATTTTTTTAGCCTGGTGTTATTTCTTTATCTCTTAGACATTAAATTTTTGTCTCTTATCTAACTTTCAGACATGGGTTTTGACCAGAGGGTGTCTGCAGACACATGCACCGTGTGGTCCTGAGGTCGTATGTTAGTGAGTTACACACCTTGATTCATGTGAAAGTCTGAAGAGCTTTGTGTGATGTGTCAGTCAGATGATTTGTTCAGTGTTAAACTGATTAGTTAATTTGTAGATTGATGAACTTACATTATCCATAATGGTTGACAGAAATGTAATCAGATATTAATTTTTTATTTGACAATTGTTTCTCACGCAGATTGTAAATATATTTGTAAAAAGAAATTTAATCATTAAAAATAAGTGGCTATTACGCTTCCTGATATGCTAAATCTCTAGACCGGTAAAGAGAAGTGATATTTTTCGGGTTAAAACCGTGAGATGATTTGTATACAGCCGGCCCTGCTTTTTGGAAGCAGAGAAAGGTATATCTCACAGTGGGGCACTCATCTATGTGGCCGTCGGACAGAACGGAATATTCACCTGAGCATAACCTTCAGACAAAACGAGATACTCACTTGAGCGTAACCTTCAGGTAGAACGATGTACTCACCTGAGTTCGACCGTCGGGCATGAGGACGCGGTATTCCCCCTGGGTGATGCTTCCGTCGCTGTTTTCCACGTGGCTGAAGGTGTTCCCACTATCCAGGTCTTGGACGCCCCACTCGAAGTCGTAAGGCATCCCCTCCATCGGGGGCTGAAAAGAAACTGTCACTTTCAGCAATATAGACAGAATCAGAGGTACCTAGACTGTAGCTACTCTTAAGCAAATATACTGTATAGCCCTTGTGGCTTAGCGCTTCTTTTTTATCATAATAATAATAATGTTAAGCAAATAGGATTGACATAGACTGTAAGGTCTTCTGCTATCTGCCTTTCCTATGAATCCTCTTCATTGTCTTGGTACACAATGGCTTTACTTGTAAACTGTGTGGTATATCCCATAATGGAAGTGCCCAAGTTACAGCTCCCAAACACTAATGGTGTTGACATGCTACAGTGGACGTCTCACTCACAGGACTGACGGATTGAGGAACGATGTTCTGTGGCTGGGCTTCGAGGACAGTGTCTGAGGGAGCTTCATACAGCTGCTGGGGCTCCTTCACTGTGTCTGAGGGAGCTCCGTACAGCTGCTGCGGCTTCTTCACCGTGCGTGAGGGAGCTCCGTACAGCTGCTGCGGCTTCTTCACCGTGCGTGAGGGAGCTCCGTACAGCTGCTGCGGCTTCACCGGCTCCTGCGGTGTCTCGTATAAACTACTGGGCGCCTGGGCACGGTCGTAGTCGTATTGGGGCGCCCCAAATACCACCCCTATCATTACCACCACCACAGCCACAACCACCATAACCTGATTAGAAAGACGAACACGCCATATATATATATATATATATATATAATATATATATATATATATATATATATATATATATATATATATATATATATATATATAAAATATATATATATATATATATATATATATATATATATATATGCAATAAGATCACAGTAAACAGGTGATTTCAGAATATGCAAAACAACCACTCTGAAAGAATAGAGAAATTCCAAGCGCTTTCGTGACTACTCACATTATAATATGATAATGTGAGTAGTCACGAAAGTGCTTGGAATTTCTCTATTCTTTCAGAGTGGTTGCTTTTCATATATATATATATAAAATATATATATATAATATATATATATATATATATATATATAAAATATATATATATATATATAATTTAGTAATCTTTACAGGAAAAGGGGTTACTAGCCCATTGTTCCCGGCATTTTAGTTGACTTTTACAACACGCATGGCTTACGGAGGAAAGATTCTTATTCCACTTCCCCATGGATATAAAAGGAAAAGTAATAAGACCAAGAACTATTAAGATAAAATCAAAGAAAACTCAGATGAGTGTGTATAAATAAACGTGTACATGTATGTGTAGTGTGACCTAAGTGTAAGTAGAAGTAGCAAGACATGCCTGTAATCTTGCATATTTATGAGACAGACAAAAGACACCAGCCTCGGTGGGAGACGGCCGACTTGTTGAAAAAAAAATATATATATATATAATATAATTATTAGAAGAAGTTATTTAATCATTCTGACTATAAAAGGTGATATGAATAAATTTTTGTAAACTGTAAATGATTTCACATTAATATTATATCTAAATGAATAAATTCTTCTAGTGTTAGGAGAGAACTTTCGTAAATTACTTTAGGGCAGATAAAAAAATATTTTACATGGCTGACTATCTGCCTCAGCGTTGAGGTCACCGAGCTGTGAACTCTACATATAGCTGTCATTTAATTTAGATTTTAGTTGATAGCATTAAAGTACAAGTTGTGAGATGTTATACAAGTCACTAATAATCCAATGTTTGGAGAGGGAGAGTTAGATTGGGTTTCAGACCATCCTGGACCATCGTCAGGCGACAGCAGTCTTGACATGATAATGGTGAAGGATGGACCGAAACGAAGACCTGAGTTTCCTATCCTAACTGTCTGTTATCTGTAAATTGTTTCAGCCACGGGATAATCACTGTCTCTAAGACTTATCACGATGGTTGAGACAGCGGTGACCGCTGCAACCGCGTATAGGTGAATACACACGATTGCCATTTGAATGTTAAAAGGTGGGGAGGGGAGCTGCGTTTGAGTCCCCTGCAAAGAGAACTCTGGTGAATGCAACTCGGTGGGCACAACTCAGTGAGTACAAGTCGGTGAATACCTTGGAAACCATGTTGGTGGAACACACGGAGGCTTTGACCACACTAATGCCCACACGGGTGTAGGTCACACTTATATACCCAGCTGTGGCAGTGAGGCTCGGGGAGGGGGGTGAGAGAAGGGTAGGAGGGGGAAAGAGGAGACCGGGGATGGAGGAGGATGAGGAGATAGTAGCGATGGAGGGAGATGAGGAGAGAGGAGAGATAGAGAATGTGATGGAAGATACATGGGATAGCCCTGGGAGGCGGGGCTTTACTGTCCATAACAACTACATAAGACATTTTCCAACTTCAACCTTTTGTCAACTGGAGTTTATACTGAGGATTTTCAGTTATTGTGGCCTTTTGTGACGCTATCCGAAAGTTAAATTTCATAATGCCATCTCTCTCTCATAACGACGAAATTCATTATTATATTGACCTGGCCTTGCAACGAGTTCCTCGTTGAACAGTCCCCAATCTGACCTTTGCTGGAATATACATGTGAGGCTTGGAGTGTTTTGTTTGGTTGATTTATTGGGCTTAAGCACAGTCAGCTGCAAGAGCGTCATTAAGGCTTAATCACCTCTCGTATTCGTGACTAGTGGTGAGGAGGTGACATGCATGTCACCTGCTCAAAACTTGTCAAGAATACTTTAATCCCAGATATGGGAGTAATGGCATTAAATTCTAAATGTGTGTATAGTGAAATATATATCCCCACGGGTGTACAAAAACTGTTCCTCTCAGGTCACACACATCACGAGAGATATACTCAGAATATACACAGATTTGTGATTAGTGTTTTCACGGCTCTGGGCGTCTTCATTTCACTCTGAGCATTTTTTCACTCAGAGCGTGTTTACGTCACTGAGCATTTTTCCTCTTCCACTCTGCCATTTACGTCAGGTTCCTTTTCTTTGCAACAATCCCGGGCAACTTACATCAGGTTCTTTCTGGTCGTAACAGCCTCTGGCAACTGAAATATTTATTATTACAGCGGTCGTCCCCCGCCAAGATAGGGTGACCTAGGAATGTAAACACATTCGTCATCATTCATTCAATAAATGTCTTGCTAGAAGTGAGTGAACATCACAAATGAACTGACCCACAGAACTGCATCATACCCACTATTCCTTCAGAGTGCACTTCCCATCTCCAAGACACAATTCCAGCCAATCAGTTTTCTTGGTTTCTTTCATAAATGTTACTTTGCTAACACTCCAACAGTATGTCATATTCCAAAACCCACTTGTCTCCACTCACCCTGATCTTACACACACCCACACACTTCTGGACACTTAAGTTACCACCACTCAGAACCTCCTTCACACCATTCCACCATCTCTGGAACAACTACACATTCTTCTGTGTACCCCGGAGTCACACACACTTTATTGGTCAATCTATTCTGCTCCATTCTTTCTAAATGGCCAAACCACCACAACCACCTCTCCTCCACTCTCTGAGTCCTACCTTTCATACCCCAAAATTCTCTTCCCATTTTTACGCTCCATGTATATCAGCAGTGTTGAATGACCTTTTCGAGTCTAGAGCTTAGTTTGATTACATTATTTATTATATATTAATTACGCTCTGTGTAACATCCCATAGCACAATATTCTTGAAAATTAATTTTTCACCGACTCACTGCTCTCTCTCTCTCTCTCCTCTCTCTCTCTCTCTCTCTCTCTCTCTCTCTCTCTCTCTCTTTTCTCTCTCTCTCTCTCTCTCTCTCTCTCTCTCTCTCTCTTCTCCTCTCTCCTCCTCTCTCTCTCTCCCCCTCTCTCTTATTATATTTTTTATTTTTTTTCCCTCATTACCACTTCTTTTATTAAAAAAAATTTTTGGGTTGAAAACAAGTAACAAACCAGACATATTTTATTAAAATAGTCTTGGTTGGTTTGCTCTTACGGGGGGTCTTTTTTTAAAAATTGTCGTTTTTTACCGGTTTTTAAAAAAATTTATTATATATAAATTTATATATTATTAAATATAAATATTATATATATATATATTTTATATATATATATAAAAATTATATATATATATATATATATTATAATATATTCTATATATATATAGCAAATGAATCAACAGTAAAACGGGTGATATCACAATAGAAGAGAACCACTGTAGCAAAACCCGTGTAGCTATGTTGTAAGCTACACTGAGAGTAAAAGGTAGATGGGATACAAGGAGAATAGAAGCATCAGGGAAGAGAGAGGTGAAGGTTTATAAAACTAAAAGAGGAGGCATTAGGGTAAGATATAAACAGCTATTGGAGGATAGATGGGCTAATGAGAGCATAGGCAATGGGGTCGAAGAGGTATGGGGTAGGTTTAAAAATGTAGTGTTTTGAGTTTTCAGCAGAAGTTTGTGGTTACAGGAAATGGGTGCGGGGGGAAAGAGGAGCGATTGGGGGATGATATGTAAAAGGATAAGGGAAAAAAAGTTAGATTAGAAGTTTTTAAAAAGTAGAATGATGCAAGAGGGAAGATATAGGGAGAAAAAGAGAGGGGTTAAGAGAGTGGAAGCAATGTAAAAAAGAGAGCAAATGAGAGGGGGGGTGAGCTGTTATCAACAAATTTTGTGAAAAAAAAAAAAAGTTTTGGAGGAGATTACAATTAAGGAAGCCTAGGAAAAAAATGGTTTTTGTCATTTAAAAAATAGAGAGGAGAGTTTTAAAAAGGAGATTTAATTTTTTGGGAAGATGGAGGAATATTTTGGGGAAAATTGTTTAAATTTTGATGAAGAAGGGAAGCTGTGATTTGTGTATAGGGCAAGGAGGAATAACATTTTGTAGGATGAGGAAGAGCCATTGTAGTGTGGGGAATTCGTGAGGCGTAGGAAAAATGAAAGGGGGTAAGGACCCGGGGGATTGAGGGGATAAAGATAAAATTTTTAAAAGCGGGTGGGGATATAGTTTTGGAGGGGTTGGGCATTATTTAAAAAATGTAGGAAGAGGGAAGGACCTGGGGATTCAGAAGCATGCAATTTCCCTTTTTAAAAAAAGGCAAAGGGGATAAAAGAGAGTGCAAAAATTATGGGGGGAAAAAGTCTTTTGAGTGTACCTGGTAAAGTGTAGGGTAAGTTAAAATTGAAAGAATTAAGGTAAGACGAAATGGGATAGCAGATGAACAAGGAGGCTTAGGAAAGGAGGGGGTTGTGGACCCGGTGTTTACAGTGAAAAATATAAGTAAAGATTTTTGATAAGGCTAAGAGGTCTTGTGGGATTTAAGGATTTGGAAAAGGCGTATACATGGATGGGGGGCAATGTGGCGATGTTGCAAGTGTATGGTGTGGAGGTAGGTAAATGAAAGCATGAAGAGTTTTTTCAGATAGTGAGGCTCAAGTTAGAGTATGTAGAAAAGAGGGAAATTTTTTCCCAGTAAAAGTAGGCCTTAGACAAGGATGTGTGATGTCACCGTGGTTGTTTAATATATTTATAGATGGGGTTGTAAGAGAAGTAAATGCGAGGGTCTTGGCAAGAGGCGTGGAGTTAAAAGATAAAGAATCACACACAGGGTGGGAGTTGTCACAGCTGCTCTTTGCTGATGACACTGTGCTCTTGGGAGATTCTGAAGAGAAGCTGCAGAGATTGGTGGATGAATTTGGTAGGGTGTGCAAAAGAAGAAAATTAAAGGTGAATACAGGAAAGAGTAAGGTTATGAGGATAACAAAAAGATTAGGTGATGAAAGATTGAATATCAGATTGGAGGGAGAGAGTATGGAGGAGGTGAACGTATTCAGATATTTGGGAGTGGACGTGTCAGCGGATGGGTCTATGAAAGATGAGGTGAATCATAGAATTGATGAGGGAAAAAGAGTGAGTGGTGCACTTAGGAGTCTGTGGAGACAGAGAACTTTGTCCTTGGAGGCAAAGAGGGGAATGTATGTAGAGTATAGTTTTACCAACGCTCTATATGGGTGTGAAGCATGGGTGATGAATGTTGCAGCGAGGAGAAGGCAGGAGGCAGTGGAGATGTCATGTCTGAGGGCAATGTGTGGTGTGAATATAATGCAGAGAATTCGTAGTTTGGAAGTTAGGAGGAGGTGCGGGATTACCAAAACTGTTGTCCAGAGGGCTGAGGAAGGTTGTTGAGGTGGTTCGGACATGTAGAGAGAATGGAGCGAAACAGAATAACTTCAAGAGTGTATCAGTCTGTAGTGGAAGGAAGGCGGGGTAGGGGTCGGCCTAGGAAGGGTTGGAGGGAGGGGGTAAAGGAGGTTTTGTGTTGCGAGAGGCTTGGACTTCCATCAGGCATGCGTGAGCGTGTTTGATAGGAGTGAATGGAGACAAATGGTTTTTAATACTTGACGTGCTGTTGGAGTGTGAGCAAAGTAACATTTATGAAGGGATTCAGGGAAACCGGCAGGCCGGACTTGAGTCCTGGAGATGGGAAGTACAGTGCCTGCACTCTGAAGGAGGGGTGTTAATGTTGCAGTTTAAAAACTGTAGTGTAAAGCACCCTTCTGGCAAGACAGTGATGGAGTGAATGATGGTGAAAGTTTTTCTTTTTCGGGCCACCCTGCCTTGGTGGGAATCGGCCAGTGTGATAATAATAATAATAATATATATATATATATATATATATGCAATAAGATCACAGTAAACAGGTGATTTCAGAATATGCAAAAAACACTCTGAAAGAATGGAGAAATTCCAAGCGCTTTCGTGACTACTCACATTATCAAGTTCCTTGATAATGTGAGTAGTCACGAAAGCGCTTGGAATTTCTCTATTCTTTCAGAGTGGTTGTTTTGCATATATATATATATATATATATATATATATATATATATATATATATATATAATATATATATATATATATTATATATATATATATATATATATATATATATATATATATAATATATATATATGTATGTATATATATATATATATATATATATATATATATATATATATATATATATATATAAATATATATATATATATATATATATATATATATATATTCTCTATGGGGAAGTGGCACAGAATTCTTCCTCCGTAAGCCATGCGTTTTGTAAGAGGCGACTAAAAAGCC